GGTGTTTTTTTTTTTTTTTTTAAACTGGCTCCCTCGTGGACCAGCTCTTGCCTGGCACTCCATGCTGATGCCCCTGGTACAGAGATAGCAGTGTGCAGTGGCAAGGGGCTCCTCGGGAGTGAGGCCAGATTTCACTGGCTGCCAGCCCCACTTCCAGAGACTGTAGAATAGTCGAGTAACTGATAAGAATTCATGAGGTTAATTGACTATTCAGTTAACCAATATTTAACATCCCTAATAGGAACCCAGAATTTCTAGGATGTGCAGATATCTGTTTGGTCAGTTCTTTTTGTCCTCTGTCCCTTCTCTGTGTATTTCCTAAGATTTGTGTCCTAATTAACTCTACTACTGGACTGCTTTGAAAGCTACAACTGCTTTAAATTGTTGTTTTACTGAAATAAATGAATTATCAAGTTGTATCATGTTTTCACTTGCCATGTTTGCTAGCAGTATGTTGAATGACATTCAGGGAAATGTCTCCACAGCATATGAATGTGGACTTTGCAGGGACTGAGATGTTTGAGAGAGCTCTTTGTTGGTCTGCCTCAATCCTCTGTAATATAACAGCATGTTTGGCATGTGTTAACCATTTCCCTTGGGAGGTTGGCGAATACACCTGCAGTCTGAAAAGACAAAAGAAGGAGTTATCTCTGAAGATTCTCATAGTAAATGGACACCTGCAGTCTGAAAAGACAAAAGAATGAGCTATCTCTGAAGATTCTCATAATAAATGAACCCATATTGAACCTTTCCCCTCTGTATTCAGAGGTGCAGCATGTTAGCCTGTATCTTCAGTCCTGGAGCATTCATCTCTGTGTGTCAGTGCTTGAGTAAAGTGACTGTAAAGGATCAGTTCTCCTTTACAAATAGCACAGTAAAATGCACAGATATTAGGTTTACTGTGGAGTCAGAGCAGATTACAATCTGGAAGGTAAAACTTGCATCTTAAATGCTCCCTAGCATGCTGCAAGCTATTGGATGGATTTCAGAATCAGAAAAGTGCATCTAGAATTTAGATGACCCTACTTATGGTAGATAACTAACCCATGTGCTCTAAAGAAAAAACATTCCTACTGTCTTAAATTAGCTAAATATGAATCATCCAGGAATAATGCTCAGCTACAAGAGAACCTTAGAATTACAAACTGACTAGTCAACCACACTCCTCATTTGGAACCAGAAATAAGCCATCAGGCAGTGCAGAGATGAGTAAATATAATACTTTACTGTGTTAAACATAAACTACTGAACCAAAAAACCAATATTGTTTGTCTGCATAGTAAATTTTCAAAGCTGCAATAAGTCTGTGTTCAGTTGTAAACTTTTGAAAAAACTATGTTTTGTTAAGCATTACAAACATTTTAGAATTACAAACAGCCTTCATTCCTGAGGCGTTCAGAACTAAAGTTCTACTCTACTTAGCTTCTCGGAGCCTGTAAAGGCAACCACTATGTAGGAGATCATGGAGATGTTATTTAGGTTATTGTATTGAGCGGGACGTGCAAGTTGATGTGCTCACTCTTATCAGTACATTGAGTATCATCTCAACAATTAATGCACGAGTGTTCCTGTGTTCATGGACCTTTCAGTGCCATAACTACAGGGCTTGTAATGGAGATTCTCTGTGTTGTGTGGTTGAATACAGTGCTGACAAAAGGTGCTAGTTGACAGCCCCTGAGATGGAAGTCCCCTAACCACAAAATAGGTATATTGGTGCAGCTGTGTAGATCTCTCCCTACAGCCACCATTGTGCATCAGAGTGACTGCCTTGAGGAGAGTTTATTTTTCATGCTTCACTTGAATCCTTGGTCTCAACAGTGGACAAGGCGTAGGTTGACTTGTAAGAGACCCACCTTAAGCATAAAGCAACCAGCCTGAAAAAAAATCCTGGTAGAGCAAGTGGTAAATGTCTCCCACTTTTCTTATTTCTTAAGTCATTTTTGGCCACCTCCAAACCAAAGCTAGTGAAGTCACTGGACATCTTTCTATTGGCATTTGGATCAATTCCCTTGATTTATTTGGGGGGAAAAAAAGACTTGGTGCCTGTTACACGTGGAATTACAGGTAAAACAAAAGACCGAACTACGTAGCACTTTAAAGACTAACAAGATGGTTTATTAGGTGATGAGCTTTCGTGGGCTTTCTTCCACAAATTGATCTGAGGAAGTGGGTCTGGCCCACGAAAGCTCATCACCTAATAAACCATCTTGTTAGTCTTTAAGGTGCTACGTAGTTCGGTCTTTTGTTTTAGCTAGACCAGACTAACACGACTGCATCTCTATCGCTATCCTACATGGAATTACAGGGTTTGCTTTGTGCCCAATGATGCCTTTGCTATTCTCCTTTTGCTTAAGGTGCTCTCATTAACGAGGTCTATTTCCCATACAAATTAGCCTAAGTGTTTTATGAATAAAGGTGAGAATTGATTGCAGAAAAGATGACGCTATGCAGGAAACAACAAAATTCTACTTACAGGCCTAGTTTATCAGCTGGAAGCTTACAAAGCTTCTCTTTTGGTAGGCAGAGTTAACACTAAAAAGGTTTGTCAGGTTTTTTCCCTTTCACAATGCCCTGTTGGAAGTGCAGGTTCTATATGTTGCCATTCACCCTCCTGTAGATTAAAAAAAAGCTGGCTATGCTTAAAAATAAATCTTGTTGCCATCCAGCATGTTGGCCACCTTAAAAAATAATGGAATGTGAATGGAGAGGTAAATGACAAGCTGTGGAATTGGTGACTTGAAGGTCAAAATAAGGTGAAATAACTGGCAGACACTTGTTTGAAATCTGAAACAGGACATACTTCAGATACAATTTAAAAGTGAGTAGGAAAATACTTTTTTAGCTGCTTTCAGAAGTCTGGAGGGATAAGGAAATTGCAAAATGCTATACCACGCAAGAGCTGCAACTTTTTTTGTGCTCCTTTGGGGACAGGGCATCGGGTTTGGCAGGGAAGTAAAGGAGCAGTTGACTTACAAATATTTAGTTATGAAAAAGGATCTAATTCTCTGCATTCCAGTTCAGGGCTGGGAAAATATCAAGGTATCTACCAATACTTTCAGCTGGAGTTAGTTCTAGCAGCTGCTGCATCTTTAGAAGCAGTTAATTCCAAGGCTAGGAGTCTTTCTACAGATATTGCTAAGCTTTGTGTGGCACAGATGAAAGCTTTAATGTTTTTCATGGAAAATAAAATACATTTCGAGGCTTGCTCTAGTATACTTTAATTGACCATCCCTGCATTTCTAAAGTCACAAGTTTCAAGCTGCTAATTTGGCTTCCTAGCACTACAGGTTGCGTATTATGGATGTTATTTTAGGAATGTCTGGATTACAGGATAAATGCTCCTTATTTCAGGTCTTGGCTAACTAGGTAGTTTAGGACAATGTTTTGTGCTAGTTGTAAGCACTACTTGAAAAGAAGTCAAATGCTCTTCAAAATGTAAAGGTGATTCAGTTCTAAGGCATCTTTAGGAATCTCTCAATCTTCCTCAGATTCGAGGTACCGATAAAAGCAACGTAAGAGAACTGCACATCGCCTATCGCTATGGAGAGCACTACGATAGCGTGCGGCGAATAAATGACAACTCTGAAGCTCCTGCACATCTTCAAACAGAGGTCAGTGATATCAGAATGACCTCGTCTGGTCAGTTGTGGACTTCAAACCAGAGTCTGGGTTCCCTGTTTCTGTCTGCATGATTTGATTGAATGTCAAAAGTGCTTGATTATCTTTGATGGGGGGGCGTGTGTGTGTGCACGCAGGTGGTGTCATGGTAAGGATGTTAAGGAACAGGTATTTGGCTAATTGTGTAGTCCAGTGATCTCCAACCTTTTTACATCCACAATAACTTTTTGAATGTCAGGGAAAACCAAGAGTTACCCCACCCCTGACCTTAGGCCCTCTCCATTCCCCTCCTTTTCATCACTTGCTGTCCCCAGCCCTTACTCACTCTCACCGGGTTGACACAGGAGGTGTGGGCTCTGGAGTGGGAATGAGGGATTTGGGTGTGGGAAGGGGTGACAGGTGCAAGCTCTGGGAGGGAATTTGGATGCAGGAGGAGGTGGAGAAGGAGATGCTGGCTCGGGGAGGGGCCTCCAGGCAGGAGAATGTTGGGGTCAGGTGGAGGGTTGGGGGTTCAGGTGTATGATGGGATCAGCGTTGGGGTGTGTGGGGGAGATGCAGGGGTGTTATGATGCTGTAGCCAGATAGGAGCTTGGCCCCAAATGGGGGCTTGTTGGCTGGGCTTCATTTTTAAATAAAATATTATATCCAACACAAAATGTTTCAACATTGTCTTTATTTATGGGAGGGGCAAGAAACATTTTTTTTAAGTCAGGGAACCACGGACCCACAGAAAAATCAGCCGGGGACCACACAAGTGAGATGCAAAAAACCAACCCCTCCAAAACCCCCAACCCTCACTGATGTGGCCCCAACTGACACCTCAGTCCCCTGTCACTCTAGCCCCATAGTGTGTGTGAGAGGGGGAGGGTAGGTAGGACTGAGGTTCAAGGCCTCACACCAGAATAACTCTTCTGGGGTTCCAGGGTTAGTGGATTTTGTGGGCCTTCCTAGGCTCTGGAGTGGGGCCAAAATGAGGGATCCATTGTACGGGACAGAGTGCCAGTGAGTGGGATAGGGATAGGAGTGCAGAATCTGGGTGAGAAGTAGTGTATAAGAGCATGTAGGTAAGTGTCTGGCCAGGAGGGCGGGGGCAGAGTGCTGGGGGGCATCCGGCCACGAGGTTGGGGTGCTGGCGGGTGTCTGGCCAGGGGGTCTCTAGGGACGAGTATCTCTCGGGAAGGATTTGCTGGCAGCACTAGATGAAGCGCACATGCAGCTTCTTTAACAAATCCAGCTGCTCTGGATCCTCTGCTGCCATCTTAATACTCTGCCCCCGTCTCCCTGGTGCATGGGGGAGGAAGGCAAGACAAGAAAGTGCACGTGCTGCTGTGCGGAGGGGAGGAGCAGTGCGCACGTGCTTCCTGAGAAGTTGGATCTGGTGCGGAGCTGCAGGACTTCTTCACCCCCGCAGGAAGCCGGCTTTGGCTCCAGTTTTGTGACGGGCAGAAGGCTGGAAATACTGCTTTGAGATCGACTGGCAGTGCCTCTTCTATTGATTGGTTCATAATTACTGGTGTAGTGGATACAATCTGTAATTGACTAATCTTGTACAGGCAGTCCCCGGGTTCCGTGGATCCGACTTATGTCGGATCCCTACATACGAACGGGGATTTTCTCGCCGCGGAGGACGCAGGCGGCGGGACCGCAGCGTGTCTGGGCGGTCCGCCGCCCGCGTCCTCCGTGGCGAGAAAAGCCCCGTTCGTATGTAGGGATCCGATATAAGTCGGATCCACGTAACTCGGGGGC